TAGTATAATGCGGCATTCGCACCATACGATTGCGAATGACTCACTGGCGTCGAGCCGTTAAAGATCTTTTGGCAAATAAACGTGCAAGAAATAGTTCCGATATTAGCAAGTCAGTATTCTTGTTAAATTTCTTAAAAGAATTCCTTGCCATTTAAAGAATAAAAAATAAAAAGATACAAAGTGTATCGGTAAAAATTGCATTGCAGCATTGAGCTTCGCATTCCTTCTTGAAAAATCTAGCGTTTTATGCTTTTAAATAGCTAAGCAATTAAGTACTCTATCTAATCTGCCCTTCAAACACATTTTTTCAGAATAAAATTTGTGTTTAAGGGGCAGATAATTTTTAATATCTACTTGTGAAAACGGCCCTAAGAGTGTTGCACTTTACTTAAAATTGATAACAGCTATGTATCTACATATATATTCACGTTATTTGTTAAGCGGTGCTCGAATTCAAACGCTAAAAATAGGTTTGTTCGTCGAAAATCCAGCAAGAATTATCCAACACTCAAAATACATACCAGAGAGTAAGAAAAAATTCTCTCAAATTCTCTCTCATGTTGAGAAACTTGCAAATTTCTGCACGAACGCAAATTTGCAGTAATTTGCAAGTTTCCCTGCCAGCTGGTGTCCACGGTTGCATTTCAAACCTAAAAAATTTTAATGGAATTTTTAAAATTCTTTCGGATGGCCAAAAACAGGATATACATGTATATTTCTTGTTGTTCTGACTTTCTTTAACATACATTTCGGGTCGGGTTTCTTAAATCGACTCTGGTTGCAATTGCATTCCGATTGCGAATACAATTTTTTTCAGCCGAGTTAAGTTCAAATCATTGGAATTAACTAAATTAATTATATCAACAATTATTTACTTCCTTTTTTCATAAAAAAATCGCTCGTGTTTATAAATTTTTAAATTTAACGAACTAATTTATTCAAATTATTGTAGACAAAAATGCAACCATGCGCCACAACCACATGTTTTTCGTGTTTGCAAATTCTTGCTGGCAAAATTTTTTTTCCTGCAAGAATTTGCAACTTCTCCCCAAGAGAACTTTCTCACTTTGCTCTCACAATTTTTGAGTGTTGGATAATTTTTTGGGCTGCACGAACGCGATTTGGCCAAAAATCGTGATAATTCGTACAAATTCGACTGTTCGAAAACATCTTTCTTTAATCTTTTTTGACAAATTTTCGCGAGAAATTTATAATTTTTTGGTTAGATATGGAGCGTATAAATCATTGCAGTTCCGAAAAACGTAATGTCACAAAAAATAGAATTTCTCAAAGCAAAATCTTATGCTGTAGTGGGCATACAATCGTTTCAAAAGATCAGACAAAACGGTTCTATAAATCGTATATTTTTCAAATTGGATTCATAATAAAAAGCTCGATATTTGGGTTCCGCGTATAGGTATTTGCGATTTTCTGCTGAAATGTTCTTTTTTTTGAAAATAACGATAAGTGGTGATGAGAAATGGCTCCCTTACAACAGTGTGGAACGTAAAGGGTCTTGATTCCGACTCACAGTGCGGCCGAAATCCAAATGTGCGGCCAAAATTCGAAGCTTTAAAAAAATAATTCGAAATTTTGTACTAGGGNTACAACAGTGTGGAACGTAAAGGGTCTTGATTCCGACTCACAGTGCGGCCAAAATTCGAAGCTTTAAAAAAATAATTCGAAATTTTGTACTAGGCAGGTTTTCAGGGTCGCTAAATACGAATATAATTGCAAAATTCAAAATGGTGGATCTCTTATGGCGTCTGGTAAATTTCGAGCTTTTTAATTAATTTCTCAGAAAGATTCTGAGTATTAAAATCTAGTGTCACAAAGTATAAGTTTGAAGTAGCTAATAGTTTTCTAAGTAACCTCCAATACGTAAGCTCTTTAAAAATAATTCTTCACTCTTATTCCTTTGGGGAATCTGTAACTTCATCGGCGTTTTTCGATTTTAGTTTTTGTAATTCATTTTTAATACCTTCTTCTGCAACTGGTTTGAAAAATGTGTGCTTATAGCGAGCTAAAATAGGTGGATATGAATGAAAATTTTGAACAAAATTCTGTTTTCAAAGTCGTGGCTGCCGCCCAATCGAATCTGTATATTGTTATTTTTTTTAAAAAGCACCCCGTTTTTTTAAAAGCATTTGAATCTCAGATAGTTACGTAGTTCCTATCTAATTAAAAGTAATTCTATAATTTGAGCATCAATTCTCTTTATAGCCAGATNAAATAGGTGGATATGAATGAAAATTTTGAACAAAATTCTGTTTTCAAAGTTGTGGCTGCCGCCCGAATCGAATCTGTATATTGTTATTTTTTTTTTTTTTAAAGCACCCCGTTTTTTTAAAAGCATTTGAATCTCAGATAGTTACGTAGTTCTTATCTAATTAAAAGTAATTTTATAATTTGAGCATCAATTCTCTTTATAGCCAGACGTTAATCATTTCTGCTGGAAATCCCCATTGAAGGAGCTTACTCTTTGAATTTGAATGACGAAAGGAAGGGACAGCNGCTGGAAATCCCCATTGAAGGAGCTTACTCTTTGAATTTGAATGACGAAAAGAAGGGACAGCTTTACCATGAAAAAAATATTGCCGGACAAGTAAACAAAATTACTGTTTTTAATATTTTTGCTAAAAATAAATTCCCCAAAGAGGCCCATTTGCAATTATTGAAACAAATATACGTAACATCAAAAGTAAATCACGAAAATTTGTTTAAGAATTATAGTGCACACTTTCCTCTTTTGTGTCTAGTAGATTTTTAAGATTCGTCAAAAAAAAATCATAATAAAGAAAGAAACCAATGCAGGTATTTAAATCACAGAAAAAAAAAAATATTAAAAAGACTACGTACGTCAAAGGTCAAGTAGAAGTGGGAACTTGTATGACTGCCCCGCCCTTGATACCACGGTTATATAGCTTAAGAAATAGTATGTTCAACGAGATTTTTATCAAAGTTGATAAATATGACATTTGACCAGTTTTGTTACACAAATACTCCCACGACCACAGGCAAAAATATTGGCTACAATTTGTCATTTTGTTCGCCATATATACGTTTTATCCGCATTGATTATTGCAAATGCGAAAGCGAATGCGAATGTTAAAATTAATGCGAATCGGAACAACCCGGCTTCAGACGTAGATTCCATTTGGTTTTGTTGGATTTCCTTTACCCAAAGTACTTTACACGTTGATAACTTTTCCCTTGGAATCTACCATAATGTAGCGCTTGGGTGAAGACCACATTCTAACTGAAAATAAAGAGGGGACTTGGGGTACAGGTCGTTACTGTGAACGGGTTTCGCTTCTTAAAGGATAATCCCTTTAGCAAACGTAATGATGAAAAAGACCTACATATTTAAAAACGTTTTTTTTTCAATTTTGGCCGCACTTTTGGATTCCGTCCGCACTGTGCAACGTCGTTCATCTCAAATGATGAATGATGATGGGAGAGCTGGAAATTCTTAGTAGTGAAATTTTTACTAGCAGCAATTGGCTATCAGAAGAAGAACAAGAATAAATGTCAAAAACTGCCATTTGTTGAATTGGTTAAGCATAAACAAATGTAAAATGAGTGGAAACCAAAATATTAATGATGCACTGGACTGTGTAAGTGCTTGTGTGTAAATCAAAGAGTTTAAAACTGACTTATAAGAAGTAAAATGTTTACAGCAGAATGCCAAAAGGGTGCACCAACTATTCACTTGGTTTTCTCTTCTTCTCAATTTTACGCTGTATTTTGCTTTTACGCTCTCGATGCAATTTTTACTGGAGAAGTTACTATACGCACCTATTAATAGCCGTCATCGACAACAACAACAACAACATTCACCACTTCTCGTTCGCTATGTTTCAGTTCCGGTCGCTTAAAGGAGAATTTTGCATGTGAAAGCAACAACAAAGTTAACTAGTACGGATAGACGATATCGAGTTTGGTTGTACCTCATTCGAGTTCGTTCGTTTCGCCGCTCACTAACTGTTGGCGAATCAATGACGGCTATTGAAGCTTTTCAAGGAACATGGAATATAAATAACCCAAGGTTCTCCTACATTACCAGCGGTAATAATTCTAATTCAAATATGAATCGAGTTGTGTAATTGAAAATTTCGAAGCCCACTGAATCGCAAAAATCTACTACCAAACTGGTGTAGGAACGTTCACGCGGAAGGAAAGGGGTAATGCCGGTTTTTAAAACTCCACATGTTCCATTTTTGAATTGGGCGCCACTCGTGTAAAACTTTGTAACTTTGTAAAATGCTGGGCTGGTAATAATTTCGATATATCGTTGAAATTTTTACGAGAAACGTGTGTTGCAGACACAACCTGCAAAATATTTTTTCAATATTGTGAAAAGATACTTAAAATGGTGCTAACGTTTATCGTTTGATAAAAATTTTTTGTTAATAATCTTTATGTAAAAACTCCCTGATGAAGACGCGAGAGCGTTGAAACGCGTAGGAGGGTAAAAAGAAAATTTATTTTTTTCGCTTTTTTAACTCTATCGGCCGAAGCAGGTCCAACCCAGCAAACATAAAAAATATTTTTTCTTTGCATACAAATTTCCCAATTAAAGTCTTCCAACGTTTATGGTTTATCGCCCATTCACTTAAATACATTACACATTATACAAATATTGAGTTAAGTATGCAGAAATTACCGATACTTCTTCTGTTTTGTAAAAATTTCATAGATGTATCGATTACCAGTAGCCCACTAGAACAAAATATGTATTGATTTTTACTATGGGAGTATATGTACAGTCAGTCAACAAAGTTTAGGTACGGCGAATTTTTTACAATACCGGCGATTATTTTTTAAATATTTTATTTTTCTCTAATTTTTTGTAAAAACATGGTTAATTCTAAAAAAAAAATAATTTCCAATAATTTTTTTATATGGAAAAAATTAGTGACATCTTCAACAAAAAAATTGCCAAAAATCAATGGGCAAAAAACTGCATACTCAACTTTTTTCTAAAGAGTGTAAATAAAAAGTGCAATATTTGAATGAAATTTTGCAGAATTTTCGTTAATTTTGCACAAGGTTGGAACTCTGATCTTTGGGGTTTTTATTGTAGAGATAACCATATTTTTATAAAAAATTAGCGAAAAATGAAATATTTAACAAATAGTTGTCCGAATTGTAAAAAATTCGCTGTACAAAACTTTTATTGACTGACTGAGTTAAGTATGCAGAAATTGCCGATACACCTTCTGTTTTGTAAAAATTTCATAGATGTATCGATTACCAGTAGCCCACTAGAACAATATATGTATTGATTTTTACTATGAGAGTATATGTATGTATTTAAATTTAAAACTTTAAAACCGTTTTTCTCGAGTTTGCTTTTGTTTTTTTTGAGTTATGACACTATTGAAGTAACTAAATGACCGATATGTAGCTACACTCATACATATCTTCAACTTTTTACCTCAATACAGAAAGGACCTATTTAACATTTTTGTTTCTTTACCGAGTTAGTTGCAATTTCTTTAAGATGGGGTTTTTTTTGACGACTATTTTCAAAAACTAGGTGAGTAATCGACGGACTTTTATACAAAACTACATTTTTAATGCCTCAGAACCTTTCTATAATAAGGTACTAGGGATGTGCGAATCGAAATCTGATTAGTTAATTAATCAAAGGATAATAATTTTTGATTAATCAAATTGATTAATTTCTCGATTAATTACATTTTAATTAATCAGAATCTAATTAATTTTATTAAAAAGAAAACTGATTAATCAGAAACCTGAATAATTGTTACTATATTTTTATATTTTTTATAGAGGAAATTTGTGGATGGCGTTCGTTTTGTCCAATTTACGACTTAATTGTATCGTAGTCTAATTCATCGATTATTCATCGATTAATTGTAAAATAATCGTAAAAATGTTCTGAAGAAAGATGAATTCTGTAGCTGTCTAAAATTGCAAACAGACACAAGAATTGCTTAAGTTCAGAGCATATAATACTGTTAATAATTGTGCATGTAAGCCCATTGTAAAGGCTACAAAAATAAGTGTGTTGCAACGTAAACTGTTTACTCAAAACTTTATGGACTTTCGAAAAAATACTGCCATTTAGTTGGTACCTCGGTGCCTTTTTTCAAAAGCTGGTCTACAGCCACCGAGAAACGCAACGGCTTAACAACAAAACGCTTATCAAATCTTTCGTTTTTGCAAAAATGGTTAAATAATAAATAATTATCAGCGCTAAAAATACTCTTTTTATTTCATTTAAGGCTAATTGACAATAGAATCCGAAATTTTTTATAGAAAAATGTTTTTCTGAAAACTCACTGTAAAAAAAAGTGCCTTTAAAAATTCGGCTAATTATTATTTTTTTATAATTGCAATTAATTTTTTGTTTACCTGTGATTAATCGATTTTTTTTGTCATCCCTATGCACATACAGAGTGTATGTATTTTTTTTTTTATATTCAATGAGCAACATGACGTTTGGCATTATATTTTTGTTAATAAGAAAAATAGTGTATTATATTGTAAAAAAATTTAATTTGCTTTTAAAGTAAACTCGAAAGAAATGACCAAAGTTACTCAGATTTCAATTAATATTTATCAGTAAAGAGTAATTACTCAGATTCTGATTAATCACGTTTTTTGATTAATCAGGATCATAGATTATATAAAAAATTATTTAATTGATTAATCGCACATCCCTAATATGTACGTAATATTTATGTATCTAGTATATAAGTTCAGTACTCACCTTATCCTTCACTTGTAGTTCAACAGCTGAGTTTGGTACGTCATCATACACTTTAATGTGGTCATCCGCTTTGCTGACTGTAAATAATGTGTTTTGATATAAAAAATAATGTTTGCAATCATTTTTTAAACATAGAGGATTTTGGCAATGCAATTTTTCGAAGAATGGCAAACTGTTTTTAAACTGGTTTGGTATGTGAAATAAACAGTTTTTGTTGAAATCGTTATCATTACTATCGACTTTATTCACTTACACACTTATGTATACAAAAAAAAGCGCACGTAATAGGTTTGAAAACCTTCTCCGGAGGTCATATACATTTCTACCCCAGCCATATACTTTGGAACTACCACCCCCCAGCAAGTGATGCATTTTTCTAAAGGTAGCAGCCCTGGTACAGAACCTTGGTATCGATCAATTTATTTAGCCTAGGGATAAGCGCGCGAAATCAAGATGGCGGGATCGGAGTTGAATATTTAATCTCGCGGAATACGCCTTCAACTTGTTAATTTCAGCCGGACAATGCATCGCAACAGCAGATGTGTCTGTCATCGAGAATTCGTGATAAATTGGAAATGTTAAAAACGATTTTTTTTTAGATATGCCTGCACGTGTAGGTGCATTCATGAAGGTTCTTCTAGTGCGAAAAAGTGTCTCGATCGATAAATACATTCCTTCGTTAAAATTTGCGTCGCTGGAATAGAAGCTTAAAGTGGTGCGTCCTTTTCCGTTAAGCAAAGTTTACAAAATTGTGGCTTAAAAATTCTCAAAGCGGTTTTTGGTTCAGATTAGTTCGTAAGAAATCGAAAGAAACAAGATTGGACAAGCCTATTATAATATACAAGATATACGATTCTCAAAGCATTCAAAAGACAATTCCAGCTATTATGACCAAATATGTACCAAACAAGCCCAACAATTCAAACAGAAAAAATGCGAAAATTGGGCTATCGAGCTATTGTGAATAAAATTAAAAGAAATGCAAATATGTTGGGCAAGAGATCAGCATCGTATTGGGTTTCGTCCAAACCTCCTTGGCCCTATGCAGGTTCCGCAGAATCGTGGCATACATTGTGGGAAGAAATAATAGAAACATTTTATTTTAACTAGTTTTGTTAATCTTCCTTTTTAACCGACTTCAAAAAAAGAAGGAGGTTATCAATTCGTCAGATTTTGAACTTTTATTGGCATATATGTTTTTATACATATGTTACCGCATACTTTGGACCACGTTAACCAATTTCTATAATTCTTTTTTTAAAGGATTAACTAACGGTAATCTTAATTTTTTATAAGAGTTGGTTTGGTTTTTTGTTTAAAAATTACTTGTCTTTATTTGATGTTTAATATGTTTTTTTTCAGTCTAGTTCATTTCAAACTTTTTATTCAGAATTTTTTGTTGGTATGCAGTTTTATAGCCCTTTAAATTTTAGTAGGTTAAATTGCAAGCTTCAATTCCTTGCTGCCATAAAACTTCCCTGGCACGGGAGAGTGATGTGAAAATGCATCACTGGGCCTTAGGGGTATGCGGAATGAACATCTGACTAATTACAAGAAACATTCCATATATTCGTAGAAACTTACTTACGTAAAATAAACGTAAAACGCAAATGCTGTTATTTATAAGAATATAAAGAAAACCTTCCTGAGAAAAATGGAAAAAACAACGTTTTGTATTCAATTCCTGTGCTTATGTCAGGTTCGAAAACGCTCTTTGAACGAGGTGAAGGGATATTTGGAACCATCGTCGGAAAATTCAGCGTCCACGACGAAACGTCCGATAACGGACTGAGGATGATTCACTCCGACGAGGCCCGAAACATCGATCAAGCTACGTGGCTATCTCCAGATCGAAAAACTCGGGCCCTTTCTTGGTGCAGCCAAAATACGTATTAGATGGCTGCATAGATGGCTTTGAAAGGATAATCAAAACATTTGCTAATTTCGCTATACTTTCACTTCACTTCCTCAAATATGTACTCTCAAATGCGGACTACTACAAACAGTGAATCAAAACTTTGCTGTGATAAAACATCAAGCACTACTATTCTTGCCTTTGGATTCTTTAATAGAAAAAACTGACAAGGAAAGCTCAAAGTAGAAAAGCTGCACTCTTCAACAAATCGACATACGTGAGCAGTGGAACCATATTTCGCGCTCATTAGATACCGCCGAAGAGGGAAGCGATTAGAACAGAGGCCGAAATACGTGAGTGCGAAGAGCTTGAAAAGCTGGCCGACAGGAAAAACGCCCGAAAATTTTACTAGAGAGTTAGACGACTTATGGGAGGTTGCAAGACCTAACGAACTCCTGTAAGAACAACAATGGCGACCTAGTGACCGATGTGCAGAACGTACTAAAATTATAGAGGGAACACTTTTCCACCCTGCCGAATGGTCGATGACGGTGGAGTCGATGTTCCTCCGCCTGACTATGACGAGGTAGGAATAGCAATTACGCGGCTGAAAGACAACAAAGCAGCTGGAGCTGGCATCAACTCTTATGCAGAATATGGTCAGATGAACGCATGCCCGATGACTGGAATTTAAGTGTGCTCTGCCCAATCCACAAGAAAGACGACGCCGCCATTCGCGCCAATTACCGCGGAATAATTCTTGTGAGCATATAAGGTCTTATCGAACGTATTGTGTGAAAGACTGAAGCCCACCGTCAACAAACTGATTGGGCCTTATCAGTGTGGCTTTAAACCTGGCAAATCCTCCATAGACCAGGTACTCACAATACGCCAAATCTTGGAAGAGACCCGCGAGATAAGGATCGACAGTCACCACCTATTTGTTGACTTTAAAGCCGCTTTCGACAGCACTAAAAGGAGTTGCCTATACGCGCTACTTTGGAAGTAATGTCCTCTCTCGACGTACGAAAACCATTCTGTATAAAAGTCACTCATTGCCATTCACGGCCTTTACGCGTTGGCGACGGCGAGTACTGCAGACGATGGAACGATGAGCTCTATAAGCTTTACAACGATATGGACATAGTGCAGCGTGTTAAGATACAGCTGCTCCGCTGGCTTGGCCATGTCGTTCGAATGGAAACCGACGCTCCAGCTCAGAAAGAATTAAGATGGTAGCAAAGGAAGACGGAGGCCCGACTGCGATGAAAAGACCAAGTGGAGAAGGACTTGGCTTCACTTGGCATTTCCAATTGGCACAGAAGAGGAGCAACTGACGTGCATTGTTGAACTCGGCCAAAATCGCTTAGGCGTTAAAGAGCCAAAGAAGAACTCTTATCTGAACAATACTGTTTTGAGAGAAAAACTATTTCGGGTTCAAAAGGTGGATTTGATTTTTGTGTTTTTTTTTTCATGTGTCCATCTTTTAAGTAAAATTGTGAAAATACTAATGCAGCAAGAAAGCTGTGCGTATTATTACTATAAGCTGAAAAGTAAAAATATTTTTTTTTCGGCTGGTAGGTCCCTTTAAGTTTCTGTATCACACGTACATATGTACAGTGGACTTGCGGCTAGTTAAAGAAAATTTCGCATAACGAAATAAAAAATCTGTCTATGTTATTGTGGCGGGGGTGCGCAGCTCAGTAGTTAACGCTTCTGACTTTGCATATCGATTACGCGGGTTCGATCCCTGCTGAAGTCTAGAAAAAAGAAGTCTGATGAGATGTGGTGATCTCCGAAATAGCTGCTATAACTTCTACCGCTAAGACTTTGTGGCTTTTTCCATTTTTCCTTATAAACATAATCGTGGTACAAAGCTCAATAACAATATTGAAATATTAAAAAAAAAGAAAAACAAAAATCATTTAGCGAACGAAGTTTCGTATAACGGCCAACGAAAAAGGCAAGTACCGAATTGAGCGCAAAACTTATTTGTCTGAGTTTAGTAGCATTCGTTTCAGTAACATCGCTTGTAGTTGATGTAACATAACTACAAAAATGCCTTCAAATAAATTGTTGCAGGAGAATAATAATAAAAGCTTCTTTTATATCGCTAGCTTACAGTGAAAAGTTGCTAAGTCCACTTTTTATTAAAACTCATTTTTTAATATAGGAAACAAGGGATATTGGAAATGCATCGTTTCGAAAAGGATTAAGGTACTTTATGTATTTTTTCTCGTTTCTATTCAATGAAAGCCAAATTTGCTAGGTCCAAAAGAGGCACCGAAAATCCGAAATAATACGAAATTTTTAATAAAAATCGAACTTTCTTATTCGTATAGAGTTTTGCTTTGCCTTAAACACGCAAAATGTTGCATTATTTAATTTTCAACTGATTTATGTATATGGAAACAACAAACAAGATTCAGAAAACTAGACTGGTTAGACGAGTGGTTTTCATTAAATATTATGCTAATCAATTCTGCTTTTATACCTCAAATATTTAGTTTTAAATATCACTTTAATTAATATCTTAAAATTTAGTTGAAATTTTAAAGTACCCAAAAATATAATTTTACTTTATAATCCAAAAAATATTTTTTAAGCCTGCTTAAAATACTAAACAACATATGTACATACATATAAAAAAAAATTCAATTAGGTAACGATGGATATAATTATATTAATCGATTAATCGGCTTACACGTATTCATAGTGGTGACTTTACTCTCTTGATTTTAAATGTTAACTTACCCCACACATACCCATTAGCATTCTGCTATAGCAGGCGCTCCGCTCCGTCAGTTTCGTCGTAAGCGAAACGCTTATCGTAAAAAAAAAAATATTTATGTGTACATATCGCAGACCCTCTTCAAAAGATTCACAATGAAAATAAACAAATTTGGCGGAATTTTTGCATAAATCAATTCGTAGGATTTATCCTCAATTAACGCAAATATTTTTTTCCTCATGATTATATATACATCTTATACTACGTGCATTGAATCTGTACGATCCACAAGCCTCTTTTGAGGAGGGTATGCGATATGATCGCATAGGATGGATTTCATAAAAAAAAAACTTGTTAAAACAGATCGTTCACTCTCGAGTGCTATAATAAGTACATTCAAAATGGCGCAAATCTTTTGATGCTGATTTGAAGTACATTTACACAATTTTTTTTGAGAAAAAAAAACTGTTGAAATGTCAAAAAATGGCAAC